AATCTGTTTCTTGGTACCGACTAAAAACACGCGATACCGTCGAGCGATTAATACCCATTCTTATTGCTACGGCGCTCTGACTCAATCCCGCCTCTAGCAGGGCCACAATTTGAGCAGATTGAATTTCAGTAAGCCGAGGCATTTTTAGTAAGAAAATAAAATATCCTGTGCTTTTCTGTATTTTTTTATTAGTATTCACTCTACATAATAAAATTAATGTTCAATACGGTTCCCCATAATAAGGTTTCGGCATTTGACTCTATCGCGATATTCGTTAAAAACGCCCGAATAACTTCAAAATGGCATTACTCGGTCAAAAAAAATCGTAGAAACTCGAATTTTTTTTCAAATTGTTTGTTGAAAAGTGCACTTTACAATGATCTATGTGGTATTTTCGAAAAAAAATTGGGGCGATCCAGGTAGCGAGTCAAACAATCAAATTTTTTTAAGAAAAAAAATGCTTGGGCTTTATCAAAACATGGAGGTGCGGCATCGACTTGCACCTAATTTCGCATCAAGTTTTTCTTAAAGTACAGATAATTATCTACAAAATGAAAAAAAATCTTGATACGATGAAAATTGACCGAGTTATGCGCATTTGAAAAATAGCAAAATTTCGATGAAAAATTTTGTTGCGATAATTTTATTCCGTAGTGTATAATTTTGATAATTATGTAGTATATAGGGGAGCACTTTCCGATGATCTTGACCTTGACATATGTGGCCAAGGTCATGACCCCAATTGACCCCTTCAAAAGATTTTAGCCCGCGGTTGTCTTTCGTTAAAAAGTTATTAAAAAACTTTCAAAAATAAAATATTATTTCTGCTATAGTACATACAATATTAAATACTATTCTACATAGGATTTTACTTTCAACACGAAGCGACTCTCAACCCACCTCTCTCCCTGCTTAAACGGCGCAGGACTTCCATAATTGTACTGTTGTACGTGGGTTTCAACGTTGTGCAACAATACAATTATGGAAATCGTGCGCCCCTTAAGCGGGGAGGTGAGAGTCGCTTGGCGTGGAAAGTTGTGCGCTCCTTATACAATAATTAACAACTTTGATTGTTAATAACTTTTTAACGAAGGATGACTTTTTGAAGGTCACTCGGGGTTATGACCATGACCACATATGTCAAGGTCAAGGTCATCGAAAAGTGCTCCCCTATACCACATAATTACCATAATTTTATACAGGAGGTTTCAGAGATAGTTGGCCAAACTTTAAGGGCATATTCCACTCATTGTAAGGATGAAAAAAAGGTCATATAAACATAGGTTCAGAAACGCTTCCTTTCCAAGTTATAAACATTTTTTATTTTATATTTATACCTATATTTTATTTTACTTATATTTATATTTTTGAGTATATAAGAATATATTTCATATACAATTATATATGTTTATGAATATGTATACATACATCCCAAGTAGTAATGTCGTTATTTTGACGTCAATAGTTAATCATTTTAAATTATTGACGTCATGTGACCTGTTTAATATGTAATAATGACGTCATCTTTTTGACTAATTAATGACGTCATTTATTTATGACGTCTTTACAATGTCATACTTAATGACGTCGAATAAATGGCCAATTGTCGACGTACTAGTAACATTATTAGTGATCAATTAATAACGTAATACATTTATTCCGTTAATAACACGAAAATAATTATTTTTATTTTTATTTTTATTTTTAGACCGTATATGTGAGAAACATAATCAATACTAGAAATTTAAATGCCTATTACGGTCGAAGCTGGATCTTCGTTGCTTTAAATAATTCAATCTTGAATTACTAATATATACTATATATGTACTTGCATATATACCATATTGTATGTGGTTGAAGTTTGGAGCGATCTTGGAGCGAAAAGTGAAGGTGACTACACATAGAAATAACAGACAATAGAAAATCACGCATATATACATGTGTCCAAAAATTTGCAATGTACGTCCAGTTT